TATGGAAAACCAAGAAACTCTCAGAACACCTCCTGGATTGACAGGCTGGGAAAGTTAATGGACAAAATTCTCTAGAAATGGGCCAGTGAAGGCTCACAGGAAGTAGAGTAAGCGGTACTGAGTAACTGGGGCCAGCAAAATAAACCTAACAATAGATAGAGATATTTAAGTCTCGTTTGGATCAAAAAAAGGAAGAGACTAAACACAAAAGAACAAAATAAAAGCTTTTGTGTCCTGTTGAACTCTGGCAAATGAATGAAAGCAACAAAACTCCTCTGTTCCATCTATTTTAATTCTTACACAAGGAGGACGCTTTCTAAACTGGAGAGTGGATTTCCTTAGCAGGGAGTTGGCACCCAAGAGAGGTGGGGCAAGATGAGGGCTTTCTGAAAACACCAAAGACTTTACTCTACTAGCCAGATGAATTCTACTTTATTTTATTTTCCTTTATTTTTGGAGGCTGGAATAGAACTCAGAACCTCACACTTGCCAGGCAGATGCTGTGCCAATGAGTCATAGCCCCAGCCCCACATGTTATATTTCAAACTGCTGAAATACCTTGTTGTAAACATCTATCTTTCTCTCCACCCTCATCTTGGGCAGAGCAAAGCCACTTGATGGTGCAGCCTCCCTGATCACCAACTCTTATTCTGTCTCAAATTCCTTAGTGTCCAAGAGTGACTGCTTAATCTGGAGATACACTAATGTGGATGATGGTGTCTGGCTCATTCTTTGTGCCAACAGTCACACTGTTTCCATGTGTCCTCCTACTCCCTGTGCATCATCACATGCTTGAGACCCCATTCTAGGCTCTTAATAATGCCAACCATTCCACACACACTTACTGCTCGGATACTGCCCAATGCCCTGCTGAGTTCAGACATTCCTGCCATGCCAGCTGCAGCTGGCAAAGCAAAGTAGACCAGAAAGAATATCACGCAAGCAATTGTGGAATTGAGAAGTCAAACTTCTCAAAAGGTGCTTCAAAGTACAAACATGAGACTTAAAAAAATCAGAGTAAGATTTTCAATTTTGTTGTGTCTGTGGGGCTTTGCACATTGTTTAATATACTAAGTGCTAACCAGTGACAACTGGCTGAATAAATTAATAATTAAATGAAAGAATGAATATGTTAACTTGTCCCAAGCAATAAAGGTTCATGTCTTAGGAAAGTACAGAACTGTAAATTCTTAATAATCTTCAGCAACTTATTTTGAGAAGATTCATTAAGCCCACTGAAGCAAAATCAATTCCCTACAAGTACAGTTGTTTATCCACAGGCAAGCTGGTTACCTAGCTGAGACAGTGATGCTCGGCCGATGATGACGTCCCTTGCTGATGAATGTTTATCAAATAGCTCCCTGTGGGTTCTGGGTCCTGACAATTAATAGTCAAGCAGCTTCCCTTCATGCCTCTAAATTTCTATTGCATGCAGGGACTGGGGGAGGCTCATGGCAAACAGGTGTGATACAAGTGGGATTCTTGTTTGTGTTTTACTGTAAGTAAAGGCACATTGCACAACCATATGTTGATGGTGGGTGCCAAGAGGTGGGACAAGTGTGTCAGTGGGAAGGGGAACCTCTCGGCGTATGCTTCTCTGATAAGGAAATAAGATAATTGAGAATTATACCTACAGGAGCAGTGGGAATACTGGGAAAAGCTGTTTGGTAATTGAAAGGTCTCAAGATATGGAAATTTTAGCCTAGTTTAGGAAAAGCAAAGGGGCCAGGTGGCAGACAGGAGTAAGAGGAAGTTGAAGAGGCAGGTAGGGAACATTCAGGTGGACATTTACTTGAGAAGGCTGGATTTCATTTCAGTTGAATCAGGAAGGGAAGTGATATAATTTCATTTTATTTAAATTTACAGATATCATTTTGGTCCCTTGTGAAGCATGAGCTTAGATGATTGGGGTGTCAGGGAGTTCACATCAGAGGCTTCGGGCAGGCCAGACAGAGGATGCTATACACCAAGTGAGGAGAAGTTCACAAATCGCCCATGTCCTTTCAAGAAAGAACCTGGGCTCTACCGTGAGGAGCATATCTTCCACAGAAAAGGCAAGGCTGCCTCCTGGGAGTGGGCTGTTTGTGCCATTTACTGACAGACAGGGTATGGGGAGGGGCAGGGCATGAGGTGAGGAGTCATTCACAGTTTCACTTTTGATCTGTTAATTTCAGATATTTATTATACCTCTAAGTGGTATGATTGAGTAGGCATTTGCATACGTGATTGCAGAGGTCTGGCCAGGAACTGACCAGTATGTGAATGGTCTTAAATCTCTTGAAGCACTATAAATCTAGCTAGTCACAGAGTGTAAACAGGACTTACCAGAAGGCCTAAAACTAAGCCCTGAGAAGTAAAAGTAGAAAGTAAGATGGAAGGAAATCTAAAAAAAATGAAAATGGCCATTTAATCCAAAGACTGAGAGGCCAGGGCAAGAACATTGAAGTGACCCTGTGGATTTGTCTCCATGGACACTTCTGGTGTATTATGACTAAAGAAGTTTCTGTAGAACATTCTCCATTGGTCAGAAGTCTCCTACAGAAGCAGAATCAGCAACATGCTTATATATATTGGAAGATTTGCTACAAGCTACAGTTTATGGAATTTTGCTGCTGGTTAAGAAGTGGGAGGTCCATGGGGCAGACTACCTGGAGTGCAGATGGGCAACTCAGGCAGAATCTGAAGCTGTGATCCCCGTGTCAGATTTCTTCTTCCTTAAGGAAGTCTCAGTGCTGCTCTTAAAATCTCTCAACTAATTGAGTCAAGGTTACAAGGTTATCTAGGATAGTCTGAATGAAAGCCAACCAAGTTCTGGGGCCAACCATGATACTACATTGAGAAAAGGTTTGGGTTGAATAAGTGGGGCCTCCATTCTGGCCAACGGGCATGTTCAACTGACCCTCAGGTGTTCCAAGATTGATTGGGATGAGATTCAGCACGAAGGGAGGTGAGCAGGTTGAGACAGCAAGTGAAGAGGGAAAGTACACTGTGCCGAGGAAGAAAGAGAAGAGGCTGCTAACAGGGCCAAGGGGGTTGTTACTGTTATTTTGTTCAGTGGTACATGCACCAAGGTTTTACATTTATTAGAAAAATCCAGGTCAGAGGAAGGTAAGTTCATGCTGAAAGAAAGAACTGGATATAGAGGCATTTCGAGGTAGTGGCTTTAAGGAGAAGTTAAGAGATGTGCTTTTCCCTCCTCATCCCAAGAGAAAACCTGGAAGTATCCATTGTGAGGGGCTCCACAGGGAAGGTCATTTTCTGTATAGCAGCTCGCTGCGCTAATGTCGCACTATGCACATCATGCTTCTGCGAAGGCGATTCGTCCTGATAGAAGATGTCCCAGAAGTGCAGCTGACCCCGAGACAGGACTGGCATCCCCCAACGGCAGGTGCTCCTAGTTTGATCCACAATTGAGCCACCACAGACCTGAGGACTTTTTAACACCATAGAAAATGCTACCTGTCATTGTGGGCTGTTTTTCTGAGGAAAGGATCCCTTGTTGCCCTTTCCGTCAGATTCTCAAAGGTGTGCATCCTTGGAGACAGTGAGGCATGCTGCAAAAATGCTATTTAAGCCTACTGGGCATGGTTTACACAAAACCATGAGTCTGTCTCTAGGAGAAGCCAGTGTGAGTAAGCAATGGGTGTGAGGACTGTGGAGAAAGCCCGGGCAGGGACAAAGCTAAAACACGAAGTATGAGGATATATTGAAGAGTAGGGCAATGATTAGGCCAAAACAGACTACTAGAGAAATAATATAAATAGGCTTTCTTATCTCTTACAGCATGAAACTTCTACCTTTTATTTTAAAAAAGCAGAAGCAAAGAGAAAATAAAGGGAAAAAATTAAATCCTGAGTGTAGTGGGAACTTTCAGCAAGAGCTAGGTTACCAGGAGAATCCAGATGAGGCAGGGAGAGGAAGCCCCTCCTCAGCCTGAGGGTTTGTGGGTGTTGTGCTCTAAATCATATTCTTCCTCAAAGTGCTTGTTCAAGGTAAATACAGTCATTTCACAGACAAGGCTCCGATGCGCAGGACTCTGCTGTGAGGAGACTACCCATGCCCCCAGTTTGCCTGGAGAGCTGTAACATTTGCTTAGTGAGTCCCCATTTCCAGAAATACCAATACAGCATGTACGCAGTGGGACTAGGGAAATACGTTTATACACAGCGCTTCAAACAGCTCTGAGACAGCCTTTGGATTGTACAATGTGGGAGACAGGTAAGGCATGCCTCACATCAGCCACTCCTGCAAACCAAACCACAAACCTGCTGAACTCAATTAAATAAAAGTACTGATGAGCAAATGTATGTTCTCATCTGAGGTCACTGAGTGTTAGAATTCAACAGTCAGACTGTCGTTACTTATAGAAGAGAAACAGCCTATGATGAGGCAACTTTAGGCTTCGCTATGAAGCCTAAGGGGAAGCGTTATAGGGATGAGACCCTTCCCGGATGGTTCTGACTTTCTACAGTGGTTTCAAATTGCACTCATGTTTCCAGCTTGCCTAGTGTGCAAGACGGAGCTCTGCTTTCAAATCCAGCCTAAAAATCTCACAAGGCAACAGATGCCTATCGCAATTCTAGAGGAGAAGCCCTCTGTGAGCTCCACTGTATTGAAATCCTCCTCCTCCTTCTGGAACAAGTGAAGGAGAATATTTTTCCCTCGTGATTCCAAGGTAAGAAGACTTTCCTAATAACTCATGTAATTTCTGGAGAAAAACTGAAAATAACAAGTTCTTTTATGGGAAGTGAAAAAAGTTTGCCAAACCCCAGAGCTCTTAATGTTTAGTTGTAGTTGGACCTTTGCTACAGTATTGCAGCAAAAAGTCCTTTAGCCCCAAGAGAGGTGTAGTTGTCCCATTCTGGTTGAAATACAATATGATGGAAAGAGTAGGACTCAGTGGACACAACCCTCTTCTTTCTCGGGGGCACAAGCCAATGTCTTGGGCCTGGCATCCCTCGGAGACACAGAGCAGCACCAGGCCGCATGAGAATACTCACTGTAGGAGCAGCCGTACACCTCGACCCTCATGCCGATCTTGCCACTGGGATTCCACTCCAGGGGCACGAAGCGGATGAAGCGGGCCCTCACCGAGTGCAGCAGCTTGTGGTGCACCACACTGTCCGCGTTCATGTTTCCTGCGAAGGTCTGTGGCGAGAAAGACATCTGTGAGGGCCAGTTACAAAGGAGCACAGCAGGGACTAGAAGTTACTCTGTGAAGTCTTTCAGGAAAAACAAGCTTCAATCAAAAGACCATAAATTGATCTTTAAGCCACTCCTCTGCCCCCCACCAGTGGCCAGTCAAAATGTATCCATAGAGCAGTTCTAACAAGTCCCAGTATATAACACCTACGAGTTTTACGCAATTAATAATTCCATGAAGATGCAGTACTTCACAGTGATGCTTCCAATCACCGTGCACAGGGCAACGAGTGAGGCTCCCCTCATGTAAGGAAAGGTTTTTATTCAAATTAGTGTTGTCCTTATTTCAGTCCAGTTACAGTGCTATGTTCTTGCCACTCTACAGATTCAATAAAACTGGACTCTAGAGAGAGAAGGGGGGGAGGGGAAACACCTCCAAATCAGCTCGTTGGTAGCTGGTCCACGATACAGTTTCAAAGTTGTCCTGTTTCAAACCTAATGCAACATCTATAGACCCGACTCGTCAGTGCTGCCATGGTTCCTTGTTATGGGAGGAAGATACCACAACTCAGATTTATATGTCGTTCACTTTTGCATTTCTTTGTCAAGAATTGAAGGCACATAGAACTTAGGAAATATGTGGTGCATTGAAAATATGACTTACACACAGCCTTCGTGGGTATGAAATATTTCTAGAAAACTTTTTTTCTGTGCATGTTATCCACAGGCTTACAGATCATCACTATCTTGTCTATTATTGCAAAATATGCACAGCATAATATTAACCACTGTCAGCTATGTAATTGAGCAGCATTAAACATTTCACGGTTTGCAACTTTTACCCATGATCAGCTCCAGAACCCTTTTGTCTTCTTGGTCAAACTTTATCTCTAAAGCAGGCTGCCCACTAGCACACTCATGTGCTTGTGTCTCACTTACTCCTCTCTCATTGCTGAGACAAATACCTGACAGTCAAAATTAGGGAAGGAAAGGCTTATTTGGCTCACAGTTACTGGAGGTTTCAATCCATACTCAGGTGGCTCTGCAGCAGAGTGGCACATGGCAGACAGCAACCTTCCATTGTGGTGGCAAAGAGCAACAGAGCAAAAGGAGGAGCAGCAGCAGCAATGGCTACGGAGAGAAGGCTGTCTCCCTTATGTTGCTTGCAGGCTGTGTGCCCCAGGCTGGGCATAGTACTCACACCCCTAATCCCAGCAGCACTCACATCCAGTGGATGAGGAGTTAATCACACACTCGAGAAGTCTGCCCCATGACTGCATGAGACTTTGGGGGGAACAACCAGACACCAATAATGACATTCCACCCCTGGACCCTGAAAGACTCATGCACATCCCTTTATGCAAAATCTATTTTAGTCCATTTCTAAGAGTTGCCAAAGTCTTAACAACTTAAGCGCTGCTGTAAAGTCCATGTCCCAAGTCTCCTCTAAGATCAAAATCAAACTCTTTGCTGTGAGTCCCTGTGCAAATGAAAAGCTAAACACTCAACATTCAGTGGCACAAGAAAAACATTACCGCTCTAAAAGGTACTAACAACAGGGGAGTATAAAGCTTTGGGACACAAGTCCAGCAGAGCAAATAGTAAGTCCTATAGTTCCATATAGAACATCCAAGGCAATCTGTGGCAAATTGTGAGCTCCATGTGGCCCCGCCCCTGTGGCACTTTCGGTGGTAGCTCCCATGGCTTCTCTCTTAGGCTGGCTTTGCTCCCTCCTTGCAGTTTCCTTTAGATGACCTGCATTTCTGGCTTTTCCAAACTTCTGGGGTTTCCACTGAATAGGCTTCTCACTCATAGCTTTGTGCATTGCCCTCTCAGAGACACACTTCCTGGCCATCCTGGCCTTCTGAAATCAAGGTGGAAGCCTTCTTAGCCTCAGAACTCCTGCATTCTGGATGCACCTAAACCCAACACCATGTGGATGATACCAAGGTCTCCTGCCAGCGGGAGTAGTAGCCAGGCTTCTTCTCTCTTGGCTGTAGGGGTTGAGTGCCTGGATCGCTGAGCGCTCTGAACCTGATTCCAGGGAATGAATCCTCCATGCCATTCTGGAAGCTGGTGTGACTGCCGTAGCCATTCTGGAATGTGGGACTCTGCAGATTTTTCCCCAAGGCAATGTTCCTCATTCTAGTGGTTCTGAGGCTGTGAAGGGTGGCGACCTGCTGCTTTCTGTGATGCCCTCAGTTCATCCTTTCCATTCTCTGGATCCTTCTGAGCAATGGAGATCCTCTCAGTTCTATCTTTGTATTCCACAGCTTTGCTGGAGTTTCATTCTGGTCAAACTCACAACATTTTAAACCACCCTGCTGGGCTCTTTGCTCTTGATTCTCAACATAAATCTGACCAAAAGTTCCCAACAATCACCATGCCACTGCCACAATATTTGGCTGCTTTGAGATTTATTTTGAAAGATTAATCAGTTTTGCATGCTTAATCTCTTAGGCAAAGTCACTAGACATGAGCAAAATTCAGACAAACCTTCTGCCAAGCAATAACACATTATCAGGAGTCCAATGATCAATGCAGTCCTTTTTCCACATAGAAATCTCTCCAGTCTAGTTTTTAGAAGCAGGATTTCTATCAGCTTTCTGGTTTGAACTCTGCCAAGAAACTCACATACCGAATAGCCAAAGCTGTTCTATTGCTTCTCTTGTTGGCAACATCTTCGAAACTTTTCTGTCTCCTCCCACAAGTCATTCTCAAAAGCTTGTAATCCACATGGTCAGTTTTAGCCACAGCAATGACCCCACTTCTCTGGTACCAATTCTGTCTCAGTTGTCCTTCTCTGGTTGCTGGGACAAATACTAGACACTCAAAATTAGGGAAGGAATGGTTTATTTAGCTCACAGTTAGTGGAGGTTTTAGTCCATACTCAACTGGCTGGAAGGCAGAGCGGCACATGGCAGAGAGCAGCCTTTCATGGTGGTAGAAAACAGCAAAGAACAAAGGAGGATTAGCAGCAACAATGGTTACAGAGAGCAAGTCTACAGAGAGCAAGTCTGTCTCCCTTATTTTGCATTCAGGCTATCTACCACAGGATGAGTGTAGCACTCACACCCATAATCCCAGCAGCATTTATACTCATAATCCCAGCAGGATTCACACCCGTACTCCAAGTGGACCATGAGTTAATCACAAACTGCAGAAGTCCACCCCGTGACTGCATCAGGCTTTGGGGGAACAACTAGACACAAACCAAAACAGCTTGCTTCACTTCTTGTAACGTCATCGGTCTTCTTTGCAACTCAGGAATTGATGGATAAGCCTGCCTGCCCCTGGGCAAGCAGCACTATGCTGGTAAAATCTCATTTGCCCTTTCGAATGGCCACGGTGATCCATTTTCAAAGAATCTTCAATAACCTTGATTATCTTTTTAACAACATCTGGGAATCTAGGGTATCTTGAACAATCTCTGACATTTCTACTACCCACAAAACATCTGGAAGCTCTGACTTCAGGCCTCCGATACAGTGACTCATATGATACAATCTAAAGGTCTCTTACAATGAAGGAAGAAGGTGCCTTCCTGTGCCGCCACTACTCCCCAGCATGGCTCTGAGTAAGCAGGGGTGCAGTGGAAATGGCTTCTGGAGATTCAAGTGCAGGGTTTTACCCCACATGTTTGTCAAAGGTTCTGGCCTTTCTCTTTACCCAAACAGAGAATGATTTTATTGGGCTCACTGGGCCACCTCCGCACTGGCCAGCTCCCACCCGGCATAGGCAGCAGGCTGTGACCATGGTTCCCCATTTCCTTGCCCCCCCCGAAAGGGCTTCTTCCCATGAGCTTTTGTTCATTTTAAAATTCCTGTGTTGACATCTGTGATGTGCATATGTAAATGAAGAGGTGATGGCTCTGGTGATTCCCCCTCACGTCGTATGGAGTAAAGACTTTTATATTTCTCTGCAACCCAATGGGAGGAATTTCCATTAACCACTCCAGTTTGCTTATTGGTTGTGGGTGTATCAATCACCAGGCATGTGAATCCAGAGGTCTGGGTGTCATTTTCTAACCCAAAGGTATAATAGGAACTTATTCACTCTGAAGAAGACCAGACAATCCCTCTTAGATTCTGTGTGACTTGAAGTCAGAATATATCCTGGTCATATCCTCAGTGTCTAATTGTGTATTAAGTAAAGGTTTGTTTTACGATCTGCAAAGGCTCTGAGTTCATTCCTTCACTCCTGGATGCCGTGCTCTAAAGTGAAGGAACTTTGGATTGTCATTTGGAGACGGCAGTGCTACCTTATGACGTGGACAAGATAAGCAAATTACAAATCCTTCTGTGTCTCACTGTCTGGCTGTATTACGATTGCAGTCCCAGGCTCTCCACTACTTCCTGTCCCACAGCTCTATCATAGAATTGAGCTCTGGTTCAGCTTGCCCCAACGTCACAGAGTTTAGAGATCTAGGGCTTTCAGTGCCTATCCCCAGCACAGGCATGGCACTAGCAGTGTACAAGCACCCGATGCTGGCACAGACTGCGGGCAAACAAACCTACCACCAGCCCTGCACCAGGCTCACCAAAGTGAGACTCGATCCCAGAGACTCTGCCTATAGCCCATACATCTTCCCCTTCTCTTGCATTGTCACTTCCATATCTAAGTGAAGTCAGGTGTCCGAAAGAAAATCCTTGCTGTGGTTTAAAAATAAAGTGTATGCTCCTTGCTAGCCACTTGCTTGGTCTCTTTTTACTTTGCCCCACTTATCAATAAGGAAAGTTTGAAAAGCTTCCTCACATGTATGTGCTCATGTACGTGCACACATGCATGCGCGCGCACACACACACACACACACACACACACTTGCTGAGTCTGCCATGGGTCTTACCATTGTGTGGTCAATTGCTGCAGTGCTCTCCTGTCACCTTGAGCCTCAGAGAGACTCCCAGCATCACAAAAAGGCAGGTCCTTCTCCTGTCCGATTCTGAATGATATTCCAAGCACTGCTCCTCAGAAGGTCATTCTTGTTTTTCTTAAGCCCATGACAA